GAGATATCAAAGAAAAACGGCAAATTATGTCTCATTTCGTTACTAAATCCACATCAAAAGGTAAGACAAATGTTTTTTGCTAATTTTTTCATTCAAAAAGTTCATATTTACATGCATTATAGATATCACTAAATCTGCTAGTCAAATGCTTAGCTTGGGCTGCCTGTGATTTGACACGGAAATTTGAAACGATTGGGTGCCATTTTGAATGYCAAGTAATCCTGGAAACTAGTTTTACCACTAACAGCAGGGCAACCGTAAAACATTGTTTTTACCCAGAAGCGTACACTCATTTGTGCCAAGTGTTGCTTCAATAACTTTTATTGTACTTTCTTGAACACTGTAAGCAACATCATTGGCGTGAAACGACTTTCAATAGCGATATTTAAATACGCGCGAGCATTCAACAGTATCAATAGACAATCAACTGAATGACTGGACAATCATTTGGGTGGAACGTTGTTTCATGTGCGTGCAATGAAAATTCAATAGCACCAATTGACAAATGGTTGCATTTATTGAAAATCATTCAACCAAAAATGAAACTTCATTAGTGTTATTAGCATAAACAAAAGGCAATCTATAGCGCATTTGGACAATCATAGCCATCCTAGAATACATTCTTTAGTGCGTTTTGACAATCATTTGAGCAATTCAAACTTTTTGTTATTAAACTTGAGCAAGATTGATTTAAATATAGGTTGATAATGCATATCTGAAAGAACACCCATCTCTATTGCTGGGATTGTGTGGACTAACTGGTGTAACATCCCTTATTGGGCTGGAAGTTAAAGGTCACATTGTTCCTGGCAAGAACCAGACAGTTGTTGTTAGCGGTGCTGCAGGAGCATGTGGTGTTGCTGCTGGCCAGGTAATATTGTTATYATGAAATACAATTGAGTATCAACAATTACCCTTAGGTTTCTTTTTTGCATTTTTGGACAAATATGGGATTCTGGGCTCCTCTGTCAATATTGTAACAAAAGCTTCATGCTGAACACAGGAACCCCATCCAAAACACCCTCTGATTAGGAGGCTATAGCAAAGAAGATATTTTTTTAACAGATTGCAAAACTGTTGGGGAGTGGCAAGGTAGTTGGAACATGTGGTACTGATGAGAAATGTCAGTATATCAGGGAACTGGGATTTGATGCAGCCATCAACTACAAGACTACCACTGACATGCGATCAGCCTTGAAAAGTCACTGTCCAGATGGCATTGATGTGTATTTTGATAATGTTGGCGGTACAATCAGTGAAGAGGTTAGGATCTGCTGTAGCAAAAAATATATATGGTGTCCTATTATAATGTTACAGTTGCAAATTGAAAATTGAAATTGAAATTGAAGTTGAAATTTAGAAAAGTGCATATTGTATTACCATTGTAACAATCAAGTGCAACATTGATATATCATAACATGATATTTGCAGCATGAGTGTGTTCAATACAACTTTGTACACCTCCAGAGTGGATCTCCCCCTGAAGACTGATATCATTTATTTTATTGATTGTTTCTCAGGTGATACGACTAATGAATAAAGACAGCCATGTTGTTGTATGTGGTCAAATATCATCGTATAACAAAGACATCCCCTTTCCAAACCCCCTAAGTCCTGAAGTCCAAGAAATTGCAACAAAACAAAATGTCACCAGAGAGCTATTCCTTGTTCTGAGGTATAATGACAGAGTACCTGAGGCTATGCAGAAGTTGACCCAGTGGGTACAAGAAGGAAAGCTCAAGAGCCGTGAAACTGTTGCAGTCGGGCTTGAGAATACAGGAAAAGCCTTTGTATCCATGATGAATGGAGGAAATATTGGCAAGCAAATAGTGAAAGTCTCTGATCATTAATACAAGAATTGATGAAAATGATATTTAAAAAAAAATCATTTCCCCAAGCAACCATGTAATATTCTGACTATCATATAATTATATATGAAAGTAAATTTTGGCATAGAATACCTTTCACTAGTTTTTTTTATTGATTGATTAATGTGCAGTTCAATTGTTTATTCAATCACCACAATATTCTTTTCTGGCGGCTTGGTGCAACGACGTCAAAACATTAGACATATCGAGCCATGAGTGATATCCTGTATAGTTTCTCAATTTTCTTAAATGCCTGACTTCACGCTCTAAGAGCGTTTGGCTTATATGAAATATGCAAATTCTGTGAAATTTAAATAAAATAGACCTCAAAGGTCATATATAAACAACACTGTATCATATCTGGTTAATTAACATTTTTTATTGCAATGTTTAAGGACCTTCGTTTTTTGTACATAGACCAACTTTAATATACTAGTCAGGAGAACCTCCAAAGGCGACTCTTGCAAATCATTTAGTAGTGCTAGCCGTAGGCTAGTCGACTAGAGTTTTACCTTTTTGTCTATCTATCTATCTGTGTGTATTATGCCGCGTTTGGACCATTGGAAGTTAAGGATTTCAGCTTCGGGAACCGGAAGTATTTAAAGATCAACTAATATACGAACTGCGTTAGTAATTGATAAAGCTATTCGTTTACAAATGTGGTATCTGTGATCTCATCGGAATGCACTTCTAAGCATCATATGCACGCGCATGTACGGAGTGCATGCATCTTCGAGAAGTATGCTTATGAAACTGAATCAATGACCTTGTAGGCAAAGATTTCAAATTAAANGCTCTTCGTTTCTTTATTACACGTGACCAGGCCCTAGGATACGAGTCAGCCTCGTTCCCGTGAGTGTTTTTCCCTGACAAACAATATGGTGTACGAGGTGCTTCAAGTTGTACTGCAGAGTCGTCCTGGCAAGACAAATCCTCCTACAGAGGAAAACTTTGCTTGTGTAAAAGCACAGCCAATAGAATGCAAAGATGGAGAGATAGTTGCAAAAACACTGTATCTCTCGGTGGATCCTTACATGCGAGGTCGTATGAATGATCCTTCAGGATCGACATACATCAAACCTTTTACGCTTGGAGAACCCCTTTCTGGCGGAGGAGTCGGAGTTGTAGTTGAAAGCAAACGTGATGGATTTGTGAAAGGAGATATCGTGCAGGCTCCATTTCCTGGTTTATGGCCGTGGCAAAATAATGTATTATTTCCGTCTGAAGTCGAACTTACCAGGGTATCATATCAGTTTTATTCTAAGAGTTAAACTTAGTTAACTAAGCTTAATTAAGTCTAACTAGCTTAAAATATTCTGCAGAAGACAAMTTATCCAGTGTTTAACTTCTCTACGACTACATAACTTATAGTATAAAGTAATTTTTTTTTTTACTTGGCCTAGTTTTCCTAGGGACCGTTTCTTTGTTTATATAAGGTGGGAGCTTTGCATAATAGGTCACGGGACCTATTCTCTAACCATTCTCAAATCAAACAAACTCTAGCGATAGATACCTCGGAATTTTATGATTGCAAAACATTTTAGGACGTGGATCTTTTGTCATGTCTAATCTAATTACTAGAGTTGAGTTTGAGCTTTTCATACTCTCAATTTTTGACATTGTATTTTAATACAAAAAGATTTTCTCCTGTTGGACCAGCTTATTATAATCTGTTAATGTCAATAGAATGCTGAAATCGAATTTCTGAGGTTAAAAAATCCAAAATTTATTATATCCAACCTTCCTACTTGATCCAGGCTTTAGTTGTTGTTARGCCTTCAAACCAAAAATATGCTTTGTGGATCACTGCAGCAGTCCCACCGTCGCCTTTGGAACTTAGATGTTCCAGCTCTYTATTGAACAAGATTGATATTTAAATATAGGTTGAGAATGCATATCTGAAAGAACACCCATCTCTATTGCTGGGATTGTGTGGACTAACTGGTTTAACATCCCTTATTGGGCTGGAAGTTAAAGGTCACATTGTTCCTGGCAAGAACCAGACAGTTGTTGTTAGCGGTGCTGCAGGAGCATGTGGTGTTGCTGCTGGCCAGGTAATATTGTTATCATGAAATACAATTGAGTTTCGACACACAGGAACCACCACCCTTAGGGTTTTTTTTTTTGCATTTTTGGACAAATGTGGGATTCTGRGCTCCTCTCTCCAAAAAGCTTCATGCTGAACACAGGAATCCCATTCAAAACGCACTCTGATTAGGAGGCTATCTGCTATAACAAAGAAGACATCTTTTTTTAACAGATTGCAAAACTGTTGGGGAGTGGCAAGGTAGTTGGAACATGCGGTACTGATGAGAAATGTCAGTATATCAGGGAACTGGGATTTGATGCAGCCATCAACTACAAGACTACCACTGACATGGGATCAGCCTTGAAAAGTCAYTGTCCAGRTGGYATTGATGTGTATTTTGATAATGTKGGCGGTWCAATCAGTGAAGAGGTAAGGAATAGAAATATCTGTTGTAGCAATATAAATATGTGGGGTCCTATTATAATGTTACATTGGAAAGGACCATGAYAAGATAAGATATATTGTAAGAAATTTAGAAAAGTGCACACTTTTACCTATACTTTTACCTGTCAAGTGCAACATTGGTATATCGTAACAATATATTTGCAGCATAAGTGTGTTTGATGCAACTTTGTACATCTCCTGGATCTGTCCATGATATTGTTCATTTTGTTGATTGCTTCTCAGGTGATACGACTAATGAATAAAGACAGCCATGTTGTTGTATGTGGTCAAATATCATCGTATAACAAAGACATCCCCTTTCCAAACCCCCTAAGTCCTGAAGTCCAAGAAATTGCAACAAAACAAAATGTCACCAGAGAGCKATTCCTTGTTCTGASRTATAATGACAGAGTACCTGAGGCTATGCAGAAGTTGACCCAGTGGGTACAAGAAGGAAAGCTCAAGAGCCGTGAAACTGTTGCAGTCGGGCTTGAGAATACAGGAAAAGCATTTGTATCCATGATGAATGGAGGAAATATTGGCAAGCAAATAGTGAAAGTCTCTGATCATTAATACAAGAATTGATGAAAATGATATTTAAAAAAAAATCATTTCCCCAAGCAACCATGTAATATTCTGACTATCATATAATTATATATGAAAGTAAATTTTGGCATAGAATACCTTTCACTAGTTTTTTTTATTGATTGATTAATGTGCAGTTCAATTGTTTATTCAATCACCACAATATTCTTTTCTGGCGGCTTGGTGCAACGACGTCAAAACATTAGACATATCGAGCCATGAGTGATATCCTGTATAGTTTCTCAATTTTCTTAAATGCCTGACTTCACGCTCTAAGAGCGTTTGGCTTATATGAAATATGCAAATTCTGTGAAATTTAAATAAAATAGACCTCAAAGGTCATATATAAACAACACTGTATCATATCTGGTTAATTAACATTTTTTATTGCAATGTTTAAGGACCTTCGTTTTTTGTACATAGACCAACTTTAATATACTAGTCAGGAGAACCTCCAAAGGCGACTCTTGCAAATCATTTAGTAGTGCTAGCCGTAGGCTAGTCGACTAGAGTTTTACCTTTTTGTCTATCTATCTATCTGTGTGTATTATGCCGCGTTTGGACCATTGGAAGTTAAGGATTTCAGCTTCGGGAACCGGAAGTATTTAAAGATCAACTAATATACGAACTGCGTTAGTAATTGATAAAGCTATTCGTTTACAAATGTGGTATCTGTGATCTCATCGGAATGCACTTCTAAGCATCATATGCACGCGCATGTACGGAGTGCATGCATCTTCGAGAAGTATGCTTATGAAACTGAATCAATGACCTTGTAGGCAAAGATTTCAAATTAAA